TAAGTCGTTTAAAATCTAATAAAAAAAGAAATTTATTAAAAACATGCTACCTCTATAGGCACAACATCTTTTTTTATATATATACATCTTTCTTTAAGTATTTAATAGGGTTGGAATTTTTTTACAAAAGCTTATTAATACCTGTAGTATATACACAAAAACTGCATAAAATTGAATGCTGACAAAACCGAGTTCATACTTACCGGAAAAAAGCAAATTAAAAACCGCACAATATCGAACAAATAAAACTTCACGATAAATTAAGTCATCTAGGCTTTATATGGGACACCTTTCCTAAAATCCGGGCAGTAATCCAAACTTTAATTCAATCTGGAATCCGTTTTGTTCACCCAAATTCCTTTGTCCAGATATGTAAAACTTTGGTTGTTCCACTACCTTATGGTCTAAGCTTTGTGAACATAAAAAATATTAATGCAAAAGCTTGATATAGTTGGAAGAAACGCACTGAATTCACTCCTTAACGTTTTAAAACATTGCATAAATTTTATTCATCCCTTATTTTTTTATTGAGTATGTATCAATAATTACACAACAAAACAAGCTAAACTTATTTATTCACCTGAAGAGCAATAAAATGACATTTAATATTGTAAAGTAGCAGCTGAAAAACAAAACAGCTTCAGAACCTTTTTTAGGTAGTGTCAAAGGTTTGTGCAATAGTCATGAACTAAATCTAGAGAAAATAATGCAAAGTAAAAAAAAAAATCATTGACTTAATAGATGTAATTCCTGAAACGGATCTTCAAGCTCTAAAATGAGCAGTTGAGTTCTGGAACTCAAAGGAACAAAAAAACAATCTTCAAGGACATTCTTGAAAACAAAAATTCCTAGATGATCATGTTTGAATGAAAATCTTGATAAAAAAAAAGAAAAAACTTTAAGATTTTTCATTTATCCTGAACTAAACTTTAAATTAGCTTACTTGTATAGTGGGTTTTTAACTAATAAATAAAAATAAAAAAATAATTTTATATATATATTTTATTTAAACTCCCCAACTAGACTATTATAAAAAAATAGCATGTTTTTGCAAACGTTAATGCTTAGCCATTTTCATGGTATGTGAAAGTCAATGCTATCTTCACTTGATTACTCACTATCGTATTCGTTATCATCATAATCATCATCATCATCATCATCATTATCGATTGATCAGCAGCTGTGATTTTTTTGGCTTTTTTCATCAATGTTTTTTGTTTTTAAACATGAATATTTTATCTTTTTAGAATTACGTTTAGCCAATTTATTCTGCATTTTCAAATTATAAGCAATAAATAAAAGCTATGATGCTCTTGTATCGGTTAGGCGATTTCTTACTTTAGATTTTTGCAATGAAAACTCTTTGTTTGCACGCTCAACAGATGCAATGCTGCAGTTACAAGACAATAATATTAATGCAATTCTATTCAATAATGTTGTTGGTGCATATGCTTTCCACCATGTGACTGGATTACAATCTTCATTAAACTTCCAAATATAGCTGCAATTATCCTGGCTAAATATTCCACTACGAGCTTTGAAACTCATTAATTCATTCAATATTATATCAGTGGCTAGTGTTTCATTTTCAGCTGTTCTGAATACATGCTGCTCAGCTAAAAGCATTTCTGAATGATTTAACTTTTGACCAACAAATCTTGGATCAAGTAAATTTGCTGCAAAGTGTATCGGTCTTACAACAAAGTCTTCACGCTTTTTAATGCAAGTAATGATATCCTCTTTTTGATGTAAAGTCAAAAGTGTTGAGTTTTGCAACACATCAGATATCTCAGTTATTACGTAAAAAAAGACTTGTGGAACAATAGATACTGACGCTGCATCACTCTCTAATTCCAAAATGGCTTCTGATATAGGTTTCAGAAGTTTGAAAATTAAATCCGTCTTTTTCCAAAAGGTTTCATTCAATACTAATTCCTTTAAGTCAATTCCTTTTTTATTATTATGTTTGTCAAGATACTTTTATGCTTTTTCATCAGTTACTGCCAGTCGCAATGAATCACGGAGTAGAATATTGCGTTGTAACATATAAAATTGTGATGACCATCTTGTTACTACAGGAAGAATTAAAATAAAACTTTTATTCAAGGAGTGTAGGCTACAACGCTCAACAATACTTTTTAGACTGTGCTTACTTTTAAAAAACTTAACTAGTTGTTTATTTCGCTTCAGTGTTTCCGAAATTATTTTGTTCTTATTTGCAAGATCACAAGCTAATAAATTTAGGCCATGAGAAAAACAGCCATATGCTGACATCCAATCATATTTATTTTCGATTAATTTCCAAACTGCTACCATGTTAGCTGCATTGTCAGTGCAAAAAGCTTTTATTTTTCTTTTGTTTGATATAACATTTTTATCTTCAATAATCTCAACAATTTGATTGAATATGTATTGTCCAGTGTGGGAGTTTTCTTTTGGATGAATAATTCTGATGTATATTGGAGTTGGAGTAGCTAACATAATCTGTATATGTGAATTATTACTTATACAAGACCAATCATCTGTCATCAGAACAAAAGTTTCTGACTGGGATATTAAATCTTTTATGAATTTATTTACTTGGTTATATACTGTGCCTAAAAGATTATGACTCAGGGCATAACGATTGGGAGGTGACCAACCTGGTCGAATCTTTTTAAAAAAATTAGTCCAGAATGGATTTTCCGACATTCTGAAAGGGCTGGCTGTTGCATAAATTGGTCTTGCATATTGTATATTTATTTCATCACACTCTTTTGTTGAAACTTTATCAAAAAAATATGATATTGATTTTTGATTGCTAGTATATATAGAAGTTGAACAGAAAGCCTTTTTTTCTTCTAAAATATTTGATAAAGAACATTCTTGTAAATCAGAATGTAATTCGTTATTAGCCACATTCATTGTGGAACTGGTTCCTGACTTTCTCTTAAAGATGGCATAATTGTTGTCACAGCAATCAATAAAACAATCATTTTCTATTATTAAATCTGACACACCTGCATTATTTGTTGTATTTGTGTTGAGTTCAATTAAAGATTTAACTAATAATATTCTGTTTTTTGTTTTAGGAGCAAAACTTTGTTTCATAACATCTGTTGCAAACTTTTTTTTTACAGCTTTTGGAGATTTAGTACAATCTGTAACTAAATGGTGTAGAGTTTTGTGTGCAAAATTTTGCATTGCAATATGTGCAAATAAATGCTGTTTTCCCATATTGACATTTTTTTTTTTTTAAAGTGACCATTCCAGACTTGATCTAATTCTCTAGGCATAATTGTTGCTAAAAAAATTTTTACAGTACAAAAATAAATGAGAATAATTTAAAATGTATACTTAGTTTAGAAAAGCAGTTCATACCGACTGCAAATCTAATAAATAATTTATATTCAACACTAATTTATTATTATCATTATAGCTATAGTACTAATATACCTATAAAGTATTTTTGTAATGTTTTTATTGTTATTATTTCAAAAAGAGTAAAAAACTTATTTAATTATATAACATATATAATGGCAAGTTATTTGTTGTTTCTCTTGTATCACCTATTCTTTGGTTTAGGTTGACAGCTTTATATAAATCATTAAAAAATGTCAAAAAGGAATGTTTGTGTAGCAATCATTTCAGATACTATAAAGTTATGCATCTATAATGTTATAAAGTTTTAATACTACTTAAAATACTATAAAGTTATACACCAAAAAATTAATAATATTGCAATTTTACCAATTCATAATATTGTATAAAATAAATAAGTAAATAAGTTATTTACTTATCTATTTTATTTAAAAAAGCTGTTAGTATTTTAATTAATAATCATATTTTTATAATCATCATCATCATCATCATCATCATCATCATCATCATCACCATTGTTATAATAATTGTTGTTGTTGTAATTATTATTTTACCATTATTACCATTAGATTTACTTTAGAACTACTTACTAATATTATTAGTGAATACCTAGGTATTTATTTCTGAAATTTATTAGTTTATTTATATAAACCTTCTTTATTAAAACAGTAAAATTATGGTAAACATATAAAAATAATCAGAGAAGCCCTGAAATTTTTTTTTTTAACAAGTATTTGAAAATTTCCAAAATTTCCGGATATTTTCCCGACTTTAAAATTTCCGGGAAATTTTCAACCCTAATTATATATAAACTATTATTGTGTTACGTCAGAAAGAACTTTGCGGCTGCGTCTTATATTTTATTGTATTTAACGTTTTTAATGTTTAATATATCCTCGGGGGTATTTGCAAATGTATTAATATACTGGGTAAAGATATTCATGAAGACACAGAGAGAAAAAACAAATATAGACTTATTATTTTATGAAAATTGAACACCAATGATAAATTGGTAGAACAAGGTGTTGTACTTGACGACTTACATTTCTGCAAGAAGTTTAAAACAACAATCCAATATTGGCTTGTAGCCAATATTGACTCAAACTAATTTGAAATAATTTTCATAGCAGCACGTTCTAAGAAGAATTTGTTTTTTTTATTTATTAATTAGATTACTAATATTTCAATTTTTTAATATTTCATAATTTTTTTAAATTATTTTTGGAGATTGCTGCTTTTTAATGCTGGTTTTTTACCAAATTTTAAGTTGTAAAAATATTTCACATATAGATTTTAAATTTTTCAATGACTAATTTTTATTCAGGAGTATAATTAGAATTGGAGTGTCCATTTTTTCTAATAATTTTTCCGCAAATATGATATTATGTTATCAATGTGAAAGAATAATCTCGAGATAATATTAAAAAATTGTAGTGAATAAGGCATATAGACTTACTATGACCTCATACGCTTGTTTTTTTTATATATTAAGTTTAGCGCAAAACGTCTGTACCCATAGAAACCACTCTCAAAAAATTTTTGATACTGATTGGTCTATTAAAATTTTATAAACTATTTTTACATGGTTTCCACTTTGGTTTGGTTTCCACAGATTTTTAGACAAAAATTAACGCCATGACTGTTTTTGGGCATTAAACTATTTACTACCATGATAAATATCATAATAATCTATCTACAAACATTGCAAGATTTTCGACAATATATCAACATATAATTTGGATTTTTCTTGCATTCTCCGGATGCAGCCCAGGTAGTGCACTTCAGCTCATTATCGACACAACCTACCAAAAGACGAAAAAGTATAACATAAATGATTATGTAACTTTAATCCTATAAATAATTATTAATAAATGACGTAAATGATAATGCAATTAAATAAATTTTTGCCAAAGCTCGGTCACTTAAGCTTTAAACATTCATTTCTCTATCATGAATAAATGTTTTATCAAATTTTTTTCTGAATTATACAGACTAATATAACATTAATTTATATTGCAAAAATAAAACATCAATAAAAACTAGCATTCAATATTTTGTTTCAAATAAAGAACAACTAGATAACCGAACGTTCAATACGATTTCATAAGTTCGATCACTATATACATTCCAATCAATACATAGTAATATTACACATTTAATATCATTTAACACATTTAACAATAACACATCACAGTATCGCAAATTTAATATCCGAATAACACATCGCAATAACTTATCGCAATATCACAAACTTAACATAAAAAGTTGTGAAAATAGCTTTCTAATGTAATTCATTTTTTAAAAATGTTTTTTTTTTTATTAATAACAGATAAAAAAAACTTATTAGAAAGCAAAAATCAAAAATTATTTTTAACAAACAAATTTATTTAGTTGACTTTTAAATATACTAATATCAAATTTGATCATTCTGAGATACATTGATACATTCATTTATACATTCAGAGTTCGCTTATTTGAAATTTTAACAGTATGCATGATTTTGCGATACAGTGGTGAAAATAGAAATAACCTCACCATTATTTTTGTTTTAATTTAACCAAAAAGGCAGTGAAACAATTTTTAAATCTACTTTATTTCTTATTACCTTCTACTACAATTAGAAAATTTAGAAATTGGCATGTCAAGTGGTATATTTGAATTCCTAATGAATTCAAATATACCACTTGACATACTAGTCACAAAATTTTGGCTGGTTTCTGAAGATATTTCATTCTAAGCTTCTCTGATACGAGTTTTTAGCTCTAATGCGGATTCAAATTGCTTACCGTTTTTATAAACCTTTCTAGAAAGTACTCCCCATAGATTTTTAATTGGGTTTAGATCTAGACTACATGCGAGCAACTTCATTACGTGAATATTTTTTTTTCTAAAACAAGCTTTTGTAAGCTTTAAACTATGGATAACAGCATTGTCTTGTTACAAATATAAATTTTCACCCATCAATTCTTCACTGTGTTTAATCAAAGTAATTTCTAGTAAGTCAATGTAGTCGTGTGAATTCATTTTTATTGAAAGTGGAAGTGAAGCCAGTGGAAGTTTTCCAGCAAAGTAAAAAGCCCCCTAAATGATAACAGTTCCACTGTTAAAGTTACAACTCATCCGAGTTTCTCCTTTTTTCAAAGATAGTACCAGTAATATTGATTATCTTCAAGACCATTTAAATTTAACTGTTTTTCATCATAAAGGGAACATGATGCCACTCTTTCTGCCAAATGTGTTTTTTTACAAATTGTAATCTAGCTTTTTTATGAAATACAGTAAGTTTTGGTTTTGGTTTACGCTTTTTCCAAACTACGTTTGGATCTTCGTGTAAGATTTGTCGCACCCGTTGAACAACTACAGGTAATTGTAAATCAACACAAATTCGAGATGTAGTCATGTGCTGAGCAGTTGCACGACGTATAATCTCGTTTAGTACGATTATCTTATACGACGTATAAGCTCGTTTAGTACGATTATCAATTTTAAGTTTGCCACCACTTCCTTTATAAGCTCCATAATTAACGCCTATCTTGAAACACTTTTGGAAATCTTTTAATTTCCTTTTCAATTTCTTGATTAGATAAGTCTGTATCTTGTGGGCTTATATTACAGCTATTTTTTTCATCAGTTAAACGTTAATTTCGTTAAACAATTCTTAAGCACGAAATGTCAAAAAATATTATTGCAGAAAAAAAAGTTCGTAAAAATTGAAATATGCATGCATTATTTCACATTTATTTTTAAATTATGAAACTACATGTCGACCGAACATAGGCAATTTGAGGGTATTGTTTATTCAATTTTATTCGAAAAAAGTTTATTAAAATAACAACATTGCCAGGTTTTGCTATAAATGACCAACTATGTGTGCAAATTATCACGTTCTACTAGTTGGTTATAAGGCTTTTCAGCATTTAGTTATAAATATGGGAGCAAGTGAAAATATTAGATAAAAACTTATGAAATCTACATAGTTTTAGAACCACAAAGAAAAAAGTTTGACATACTTGCACAAACATTGCATGACTTTTTACACGTTCTTAACATATAATCTGGATTGCTTTTGCATTCACCTGACGAAGCCCAAGTAGCACAATTAAGATCGTTATCTTCGCAGCTACCTTTAAAAATTTAATGTCAAACATGAAAAAATAAACATGAAAAAAATTGTCGATCAAATTGAAATTTTTTATTTTTTAATTTCAAGTAAAAATGTTGTAAATGTTATAAAGAATTATAACATAGCAACAAGAAATTTATTTTGTTTTAATATATATAAACAAGCAGTAATAGTAAAATAAAAGCGGTAATAAAAATATTATCAAAAATTTGGAAAAAGTGTTTATCAATGAAATAAAATAAACGTTATCAACAATATTAGGTTCAATAAAAATTTATAAATTTTTTAACTTAAAATAAAATACCAGGGCAGGAATTGCAAGATTTTCGACAATATTTTGACATCCATTCAGGATTGTTTTTGCATTCTCCTTTTGAAGCCCACGTTGCGCAATTAGTATCAAAATCACTACATGGTTCTGCATAAAAATAATAAAATTATAAATTATTTTAACATTTTATTAAAACTCCTTTAAAAATAAAACTTTTAGTAATGAAATTTAAAATTTAAACAATACCGGCACAAGCTTGACATGATTTTCGACAGTTTTTCAACATCCAAACAGGATTTTTTTTGCATTCTCCAGTAATAGCCCACTCATCGCAATTTACATCCTGGTCTTCGCATTCACCTATATAAAAATATATTGCAATATTCATGTCTACAACTTGTAAAACTATTTTCTTTTATAAACAATATTACCGGCACAAGATTTGCAACATGATCGTAACATCCCTTGAGAATAGTTGGGATCAGTACAATACCCTTTTTTAGCCCAATCAGGACACTCCTTGTCAAGATCAACTCCAACAGTGCATTGTGGTAAGGCTGATGTAGGTATCGGTTTAGCTGTTGTCAAACCTAAATTTACATTTTTAAAATTGCTCTAACATGTTTTTTTTAGAGCTATTAAAATGCTGTTTAACATATGTAATGTGCATAATTCCACAAAATACATGGTCCAATTTTTTATCACATAATGTAATTTTTTAATGCATTTAATGCTGACTTTTAAATAGAATTTCGCTAGATTTGTCAAATTCAACTCGACTAACTATACTTTATTTACTTTAAATATTTAATATTTTATGTTATTAGTGCCTCCATTTAATTTCTAAAAGTTTTTCTGACTTATTTAAATTAAGTGTACAGATACATGCTTTTAAAACCTAATATTCACAACACACATATTCTATGAGGTTTTATAGCACAAACATAAGGTCAACAGGCAACAGTTAGTCTACTTAACTTTAAATTTATTCCTTAGTTTCTATATTTCAAACTTTTATTTAAACTTTATGTAATATTATGTTACAATATTTACTTGCACATGATTTGCAGCATAGCCGATTCACATTTTGCCAAAAGTTTCCAGCTGTGCAATAGCCTGATTTAGCCCATTGTGCGCAATCGCTATGGATATCGGTTCCTGGACTGCAACGTGGTAGTGGTGTGGGACTAGGGGTAGATGTACCTAAAAACTACTACGCTACATCAGAAACAAAATTTAAAAACTTAACATACTGTATTAACTGTTATATGTACAATTATTGCATAAATATTGTTAGAAAAAGTTTTAATATTACCTGGACAAGGGTACATTTTATTTAACTGAATTATGTCCCCTTCGCTAAAACCGTTTCTTTGACCAATCACTCTTTGCTTGCTTTTATCTTTTGTGACAATTGTCACCTGACCTCCTCCAAATGCAGTTTGATCATAATGCATCATAGAATCATAGTCATAAAGTGTTCCCAAACTGTCAATTGTATTAAGAGAATGTTTGTTAAAGTTATACTGCATATCACTTTGAATGTTTCTCCAAATTATAGTGACATATTCATCACGATCAGGTCTGCTTTGTTCATGGTAAAAACCTGAAACAACCACAAAAGAAAAGTTCAATTATTAGAAAACTGAAAAAACTTTTATCGTAAGTGTTTATTAAGGAGATTCCAAACCATAGAGACATGTTGTGTTCATATTGAAAAGAATGATTTTATAAAAACCTTTGGGCTAAATTTTTTTTTTAAAGCTAAACTTTTTTTTGGTATGCATTATAGACTACAGACTTGATAATTTATTCAAGGGCGTTTTATTCCTTAAATTTTTGGTACAAGATATCATTGATTTTTTGTTTGTTAACATAATTTATCTTTTAAACAAACAAAAAAATCAATGATGTCATGTACTAAAACTCTATTAAAATATGCTTAAATAAATTATCAGGTCTATAAATTTCAGCATATATTATGAAGATTATTTGGCCTTCAACAAAACGAAGAAGGCAAGCTTCAACTAAAACAAAAAAGTTAGTTTTTCTGCGTATGCATTTATTCTTTTGTTTTAATCAAAAAAACTACCCTGAACATTTTTTTTTTAATAACTCTCTTTAATATAAATTACAACTTGTCTCAGTGGTTTGGGAACCCTTTAAATTATTATTTTTTACTTTTTTATTTTTAAAAACTAAAGCACACACTATTTTTTTGGGCTGTAATGTATAATAAAGCTCTAGTGCAGTAGTGGTGTAGTGATAGCACGTTTCCTTCATAAGCAAGAGGTTCCCAGTTCGATCCCCACCACGTCCCTGGTAGTACCGCAATCAACTTGTTTCTCTGTGCAGTAGCCTTTTTCATCAAGGTTCGTGTTTCAGAGTTATAGAGTTGAGAAAGGATTATAACCACAATTAAGTAGCCTTCTCGTAAGTAGTGGCCTACTTGGCCTTAGGAAGGTGTTTTTTTTTTAACATCTTCGCTTTCAACAAGGCTGTAAGGAACCATTATTAGAGTTAGAAGTTACTGAACGAGAAAAGATAAAGATTATAGAGCAAGATAATGATTGACAGAAGACTTAAAAAGTTGCAAATTATATGAAACAGGCAAGCAAGATAAAGAAAGCAAATTCCAAAGAAATAATATTGCCAGATATGGCAACAGTATTCCATACAAGGCCAGATTTGAAATTTATAGAGATAAAGAATAGAATCCGAAGTAAGAAAGTGACCAGCACAATAAAGAGATGCAACCTTAGCCGATGCTAATTTTGAAATGAATTTGATGTAGGGTTTCCAAGAAAGATCGTAAATAAAAGTTAATTCTATAAGAAGAAGGGTAGATGACTCATCGAGTACATTACCGTTCATAAATATAAGGAGATCTAAATTAATGTGATAACTATTATATTACCATAGTAACAACGATTGGCTGAAAAAAATTTTTTTATCAGAGTTAAAGTTTACCAGCTACTGTGACTCCCATCCTGTAGCAGAAGTGAGATTCTTTTCAAGCTCAAATGCCCCTTCCAAGAAATCAAAGAGGGTTGGCTTCTTATCATGACAAGAATAAATGGTAGCGTCATCAGCAAACAATGCCACCTTAGATGTGACAATATCTTGAAGATCGTTAATGTAAATTAAAAAGAGAATAGGGCCAGGGATTGAACCTTGAGGAACCCCTAAAGTTACAGGATATGAAGAATATTGTTGTCCATTGAGAACAACTTTTGTACTACAATTGAAAAGAAAGGACTCAATAATCTTAAAGATGTTACCAGCTACACTGTAAGAAGAAAGCTTATGGAGAAGACCAGCATGCCATACTTTATCAAAAGCTATAAAAATGGCAAGAGCGTAATGTTGTAAATGTTTTTACTACCTAGCGTAATGTTTTAGAAATGTCAAGAGCGTAATATAATAAATGTCAAGATAGCCTTAACCTCTCCACCTTTATCTAATGCACGATAAGAACTATTGTTTATTAATCTTAGCAAATCAAATGATCAGAAAGTAAGCTATTAGGTTCAAGATGGGAGATTAAGTGTTTGTTAATTAAAGATTCAAAAACCTTGCTTATGATAGGAAGAAGACAAATGGGACGGTAGTTAGACGAATCAGATCGCTCTCTAAAACTTTTGAAAGTAGAAATAATAGATGCTGTTTTCCAGCAGGCTGGAAAATAAGACTCTGATAAGTACTTGTTGAATAGTTTTGAAAGAATAGACGACAGCTCTGGAGAACACTTCTGCAAGACTATAACATGTATGTTGTACCGACCACAAGCTGTAGAAGAGTCTAAGCAGGAAATCACTTTAGATACAGAAGCTAGAGTGATATAAACGTAAAGCAATGGGTCTGTTTGACAGCTGGAGTGATACGAATATCAAGCAATGGACCTGTTTGACAGCTATATCAAGTACAACGCAACTAGTGGAATCAAGAGATGATTTGATAAAAAGTTCTTAGCAAACAATTTAGTTTTGTCTTTAGGTAAGGTGACATAGTCTGAACCATACAAAAGTGGTGAAATAGATATGTCTTTACTGTTGATACTGTTAGAGATTCTCCAGAAGTCACAAGAGTCTAATTTTTGTGATGAAATATGAGATTTCATGACCTGAGAATAGCAGGCTTTAGTGTTGGACAAAACCTTTTTACATTGGTTTCTAGCAGTAATAAACAGACGTTAGGAAGTAACATTTTCAATTGAAAATTGCAGCAGCACAATGTGAGAAAAACCATGGAGAAGAGTGAGGCTTGAACTGGAATTGTCAAGAGGGAATAAAGGATTCCGTGCCAGCCTGAATCCACGAAGTTATGTAAAAAGCACATTTGTCAACAGGAAGACAAAAGATTTCTACACAAGGGCCATCACGAAGAAAATCACGAAAAGAGTCCCAGTCAGCTCTAAGGTAGTTGTAAGAGGTACAAAGATAGGACAATTCAGATGATTAAAAAGAATGAGATAATAGTTTTAGAGAGATCAAAATGTGATCAAAAACACCTAAGGGTGAATCAGGAGAAACTAAGCACTGACTTGGATCAGAATTAAGATATAAGTTGAGTAGAGAAGGTAAATAATTCGGGTTGTCTGGAAAGCGAATTGGAAAGGTTGACTATTTGAGTTAGGGATTAAGAAAGGCAAAAGTTGTTGGCTTTAATGCCTGCAGAGTAACTGACACTAGAGCCAAGCTATTCAGTGTACTGAGCATTAAAGTCACCAACAAAAACAATATTGGCTGACGGATAAAGAGAGAGGTCTCGACAATGGACATCAAAAGTACGTACAGGGACAACATCCATGCACAACATGGCGCTGTTAATACTTTGATATTTTCAGCTATTGATGGGATCAGCCTCTCTGAAAGCTACTAAAAAGTTCGGTAAATCTGACTACCAGCCGGCCTCAGAACCATAAAACTTAGTTTTAGAGCTGCACCCTCATTAGGAGATAATAAAATGAGTTTTCTAGACATAAAAACAGAGACACAATCAAAATCCATGCATTGAGTCAAGAAGATTCTGCATTCAACATCCTAAATTGGAAACAATTTATTAAAAATACATCTGTGCCAGTCTAATAAATGAATAATAGATCTAAGATAGATCATCAACAGATAAAATCTGTTTACCCCCTTAAAGTGAATTAACATAAAAAAATTTAAAAAATTAAAAAAAGTTAATGGTTTAAGTTATAGGTTTAAGGTTATTAGAATTTAGCTTGATTGTCAAAAAACTTATTACAAATTTAAATTGGGGTAGAGACTATAGTAATGAAAAAAATCTCAAGAAATAATATATTTATATAGTTTACGACAGATATGCAGGATATATATTGCAAATTTTATGGTAGGAGATGTGTCTGATATTAAGTAATGTTTCTCTTAATAATATATTTATTCTACATACTAGTAAAAGAACTGATTAGTTGCATTATGTGTGTGATGCATACAAAACTATAAATTTGAATTTTAAACTTTGATTAAAATTTTCTGCTAATTGACTATAATTAGTTTAATGATTTTTTTGTCACAGACAACATGTTGATGTTTGTAAAAAATAAAAGTATTTTTTACAAACATCAACATGTTGTCACAGACAACATGTTGATGTTGGTAAAAAAACATCAACATGTTGTTACAGACAACATGTTGATGTTTGTAAAAAATACTTTTATTTTTCAAAATTTCACTAACTTCATAAAAATAAATGATAAACTTTAGTATTAAGTGTGTGACAAATTTTGTTATGTGTGTGATACTGTACAAACCTTTGATAATTTTATAAATTTGAAACAATTTTTTTAACATAACTGAAATAAAGATTAAACTGAGTAGGACTTTCGTTTCATATTTTTTTTTAAAATTCAACTTTTTAAGCTTTATTTTATAAGGGTACATAGTTTTATTGTTCTGCACAAGACATGAATCATTAAAAGCCATTTCTGGAAAATTGGGAAAATATTTCAAGAACTTGCATCTCATTAATATAGTTTATTTGAAAACCAGATGACTTTGATTCACTTGTTTTAAAAAATGACAAGTATCTTTTGAAAGCATTAAATGATAAATTTTTCCCAATGTTTTTTTTTTTGAATGAGTTTTTTTATTGTCTATTATACTAATGATTTTATCTCTGCTATTATAGAGAATATTATTAGCTGTCATTAATTGTTTGAGAACATTGAAAAAATCCATAGAAGTTTGTACACACACTTTCTCATTCTTGCTCATACATTTTATTCAAACAAGAGACTTAACTATTTACTTAAAAAACTCTTTCTCGTGCAATCTCTTTGTTTTTTTCAAATTCAGCAGCTTGAACTCTTTTTATACGAACGCGTACCTGAAATTTAGATAAGATAGATAGTAATTTCTTTATTACTTCTCCTATGCACCCGTTTTTGTATTGTAATTGAAGAAACCCAATATGAACTATTATTAGTCTATTGCTTTAAGTAATAAGCAAAGGTTCTCATGCAGTTTACATTTACACTGGTCTTTGGTTGTTTCTTCTAAAAAAAGGTATACTTTTTGGCTTTAGCTTTCAAAATATAGACAAAGGTATTATTTCTCTAAAGGTTGATTGAAAAATAGAATAAGCCTCTCTCAAAAACATTGTCAAAAAATATTTTCTCAGCTTTCTTTTCTTTCCATTCTATCAATTCATTTAGTTGGTCTACTAATTTGTTTTAATATTTTTTCTTTAAAATGAATCCTTTTCTGTGCTGTTCATTTTTTGCAACTTTCATTTTTTGCAGATTTTTAATCCTTTAAATTTTTATTGAACATTTGTCAGCTTCTTGTTTTCCTCTAAAGTTTTTTAATCTCTCAGCTCAAGACATTTTTATTTTTGTTATATATTGACCTAAACTATTACAATTTACAAAGACCTAAAAATTAATAGTATATAGAATTATTTGATTCATCTTTTTAAGCCAATTCAAACTGAAATAACTCTATCAACATACTCTATCGACAAGAAAACACCACTGTATGCTTGTTTTCTTGTTGAACTTATAAAAGAAATTGAGATTAATTTTAAAAAAGTAATTTATATCAATACTATATTCATGTTAAAGGCATTAATATTCAAAAAACAAATTTTTATATATAGTATTTATGATTTAGTTACAATCTGCATCAATTATTAATTTTCTAATTTTCTAAATTTAATGATCTTATCTGTGTAATATCGCATATATATCATTAACTATAAAACTAGGTTATGTGTTTTTAAAATTTAAAACTAATTTAGATATTTAGATATTAAATATGTAAATTAAATCTAAATATGTAAATTAATTTAGAGACCTTCATTTAAACCATAATGATGGTCTCTAAAAAGTTAATGCCCCATTTATTTGTGCCCCTATCTACTATAAAAGCCAGATCAAGGAGAGGGTAACCAACCATTTCTTTTTTTTATTATTAAGAAATGAATTATAATTAGTTGCACCCTTTACGTAGGCCAGTTGGCAGAGTAGAGGGGCACTGGTTTCTAGTAACACATTTAACTATTGATAATTGAAAAATCGGGTTATTTAAAAATGCTGGCATTTTTGGTGTTAATTGGACAAGTTTATAATGCTTGCATTTTCAGATAGTTAGGTCTAATGGCCTTATATTATGTTAATCTTAGATCAAAGTGTTAGAAAAATTTACAAGCATCTCAAAATGGCTAAAAATTGGACTTTTTAGGCAAATGGACATTTTACTATTAGATATATTTGAGTTCTAAACTGCAACAAACTGCCTATATTTTGCCAATTTATTGTAGACAGTAGTAGCTAATCAGAAAACTTATCTGTAAAGACTTGTAGATAAATATAAAAATGCCACAATTTGTTTCATTTTGGCATATTTTAGCAATTTTAGGATTTTTTCCAAAGTTGAGGAGATCATAACTTTTCTCTAATTTAATACAACTTAACAAAAACCACTTTTTTAAAGACAGAACTATCCAGAAAATAGTTCTAGAAAAAATGAGACACTTGTTGAAAGTGAGAAAAAAAATTTTTTAATTATTAAATGTTTAATATCTAAATATCTAAAATAAAGTTATACAGCTCACACATCACAAAAATAGGTTTTAAGTTTTAGGTCAGAGTTCCCCAAATATTTTTATGGAACTTTTATCTGTGGCTCTTCAGGACACTGTATCTAGAAGCTTAAAAATCAAATGGCAGCCGTTTTTGAAAAAAGTGATTTTTAAAAAAAAAAAAATTTAATGCAAGGCCATTTGTAGACAAACTTTTTAAGTGTTTGAGATACTCTAAACATTGATATGTTCATGTTTATGTCAAATAAGGATACTTTGCAAAAATATGTGACGATTGGAGCTTGGGAAAAAAAAACCTTAACGTTAGCCCCCCTGTCCATAACGCAAACACAACAAGTTTGTATTTAAAAAAATTTCATTATTATTAACTCAGTTTAAATTTATCAATGAATTTCAAATTCCATGCAATAATGTCTGAGTGTTCAAAAATTATGACCATATAAAGTTTGAATCCCCCTCAATTTGAGGGGACAATAAACTTTGGTGGGTCATAACAACAGAACACTAAGAGATTATTTCATGAAACTTGAAATTTGTTAATGAATTTAAACTGAGTTAAAACTAGTGATTTTTTTTTTAAATTGTTTTTTACTTGTTATGGGTAGGGGCTAACCTTTAGTGGTTATTTTGTTCCCAAGTTCTAATCATCACAAATTTTGCAAAGTATCGTTATTTGACATAAACATGAAAATATCAATGTTTGGAGTTTCCGACATGTCTAGAAGTTAGTTATCTCAAACACTAAAAAAGTTGTATTGGCCTTGAAATGAAGTGGAATTTTTTTTGAAGGGGAGAAAAAATGTTTAATTCTTTTAAAAAGACAATTCTTATTATCCTAACTCATATACCTGAATAACTATTCATGTTGCAATAGTTAATCATATTTCTAAAGTTTTTTCTAACATTTGCATAAAATGCAAATGTTAGAAAAAACTTTATTTTTTATTTTACTTTATTTTAGATTTTTTTATACTGTTAGCTAACGATTAAAAAATTATTTGTATTAAATGTTTTAAATTTATAAACATATATCAAAATATCTAAAAATTTTAATCTATAAATTAGTACTGCTGAACGATTCAGCAATTCTTCTGCTTCTAAGAGAGTGCTTTGAGCTTGTTTGTGAAACATTGAATCGTTCAATTATTGGCTTCATTTTTGAATGAGCCAATTCAGATACTTGTTCATTGTATCGTCCAAGAGAATGACCAGTAAGTTCAATAAATTGTTGCAAGTGAGCTGAGATTATATATATTTTCCAGGTCACAGTAAGTTTCTTTCCTAGAAACTAATAAAATATTCTATAAGATAGATAATAATAATAGTATATTAAAATTAAATTTAAAGCAAGTTCATTATAATTAACTGTACCTCTGAACAATACTCCTGTGTGGCTTTGTAGGAACAACCAAAGTCAGTTATTAGTTGAAGATAACAAGGGTTAAAATAACTTCCGAAGGTTCCTTGAACTAATTTCTCAAATTTTCTCACTGGACGTAGAAGTGATGAGAGTTCAATTGGTAGCCTTAGTGAAAGCTGAACACTTTTTTTAAGAATAATCCTACATGGATTGCCTTCATGTGTTCCCCCATGGTATCCTCTTCTAATACATCCAAGTGAGTCGACCCAGCCTTTGTATTCAAGCCAATAAACAATTATATAAGTTGATATATGATTTACAAATCCCATTAACATATGAAGCTCTAGCAAAGGAATGACTTCAAGAACTAGTTTTGACTTGTTTCTCACCTTTATTAGACATACATTCACCATATTCTATCAAAGTTTATTAATTTGATTACCAATTTTAAAAAAATTATTTTTTTATTTAATAAAAAGATTTTTAAATTTTTAAATTAAATAATAGTTAACATTCACACCTTATAATCTTTCATTTCAGAATTTCGATAACCATGTATCTCCTATGCCATAGATCCAATGATAAAAATGTTCTTTTCAACCCACCAAAAAGTTCACATTCTCCTTCACACCAAGCACAAGCATACATACCACCATGAGACTAAATTTTCTTATGTTTTTTTTTAAATCCTAATTAACTAATTAATAGTTACATAATAAATTATTTTTAAATCATAACTTACTGAAATTCCTAGAAGAATATTAATTATTTTCAAATCAGCTGCAAGAACATATTTACAATCTTCTAGCTTTAGAAGATCTAATAAAATGGCTAAATTTGTGTGTGTCTCCTGCAAGTTGTCACAATATGCAAGAACTATGGAGTGGTTAATTCCAGAGTATGTTCCGTGAGAACTTTGATCTTCGCATCGTTTTTTTCTGGATCAAAGAGGTTACAAATTACCTTAAGTGATCCACCTCCTACAGAATTTTAATTTTATATTAAAAAATATATATTTTTAAGTTCTATATTATATATAGGTTATATATTATCTCTTCATCTAATAATGTTTTTACCTGAATCAATTCCAATTCGTATTAATGTTTGGTAAGGGTTTTGCTTTCTGTAAGTCATTACAAAGTTAAGCAGCTCTATTAATTGAAAAACATAAACAAGGTCTCTTGACACATCGCCTGACAACTTTTTTTTTTTTTCTTTTGCAAATATTTTCTTCACATCATAAAATTCAGATAGGAGTTTACTTTTTTGGTAAAGTTTTTTTCAAGATTTGCCTCAAATTGAATTCCACTTTTCCTTAAGGATTTCAGAAGGATGTGTGATTTGAATTGACAAAGTCCAAGTCGATTAATCATAGTTTCAGTGTCTTCAAATTTGACTTTCCTAATAACTAATTGAGGAACACCAATAGTTATAGGTAATGGCAACCTGAATAACAAAATACTTTGGATGATTTAATCAATTTGAAAACACTAATAAATCTAATAAACAAATTACCAGTAATTAGATGGGTCTGGATTCCATGCTTAAGTTTCTTTTTCTTAATAATCGATCTTAAAACATACGAAGTGACTTTTTTCTGAACTTTTTCCAAAGCATTAAATAACTTAGCAGAAAGATTTGTATACACATTCATTTCAGTACATTGATGTTGAATTCCTTTTTTGATCGCACATAAGCAAACGTTACACATCCTATTAGAATTTACTAATTTCTTTGTTTTTTTCATATGTGGAAATCTTGATCTAGCCTTTGAACAAACTGTGCATGTTTCGCAATTTCTAGTGCTTACACATCTAGATAATTGGGAAGATTGCCATCGAGTTTTAACTGCATTTGGTATGTCTTTACTTTCCTTCAGTAAGTTTACATACTTTTTGCATGTTGGACAAATGCCTACATAAAGTAAATTCATTTTTAAATAATTATTATTTTTAGAAAGTAATTTTTAATCAAACAATTGCATAAGTTAATCATAATATGGAATATACCTGTTGGGTAACTGTACAGAGATATTGAATATTCAGGTTTTACATACATTTTTTATGTAAGCCTCTAATAACTTCGTTACTGGAATACATTTTAAGCATTTCTTCAAACAACAGCAACAAATAATTTTCTGATTCAATGAATGGTCTCGTTTTTCTTTGCTGTTTACTGTTTTGTTAGATATTAGGCATTAGGCATTATTATATATTAGGCATTTTTTTAATAAAGTAGTTTATGTTTAATATTAACAATAACGAAACAATAATTAGGGTTTGAAACATTCTATTATTATATTAAATAAATAAATTACTATATAATATACTATATGAATTACGTTTCCATCAACAATTCTATAGAAAAATTAACATCTTAAGATGATCAAAGTTTAATTATCTGCAACCTTAACATAATTAAAAAGTGGTAATATTGATTTTTTATAAGGAAAACCTTTACAACTCTCACCCCCTCCCCTTTTATAAAATAATTTACAAAAGTTTGAAATCGTTTTTTTCAAAAACGGCTATCTTTTGATTTTTAGGCTTCTAGATACAGTACCCTGAAGAGTCACTGATAAAAGTTCCATAAAAATATTTGTGGAACTCTGACCTGAAACTTAAAACCTATTTTTTGATGTGTGAGCTCTAAAGTAATCTGTTTTGACCATTTGTAAATTGAGGGGGGCCACTGTGTAATGTTTCTAAGGCTATAATTTCTGAACCCTTGTACTTGGAAGCCTGAAACTTAACTTATCTAAATAATTATATAACTTATCTAAATAATAAATAAACTTAACTTATCTAAATAACAATCAATGTAAAAATCAGAGGTGGTGACCTACAATGTTTTCTTCAAATTGGTTGAAATATAATGATTTGACCCATTAGCATTGGTGCTGACTATCATTAGTATCAATGTATTGAGACTTATTGGATGAATAATAGTTTTTTTTTACATCCAATAAAAAAATTTTTAAAAAGTGTGTGGTGCCATTAAAATAAAAATCTTTATGCATCTTCAGGGTGGCCAGTTAAAAATAAACTTAAAATTCCAGGATATTTCCAGGATTTTCAAGGATAATTTTGGATTATTCAAGGATTTATTTTCTCGACAATTAAATAACTAGTAAAAGCAAAATATACTTTCTTAGAACAAAATAACTAAATATATATAAATATATTTAAATACATAAGTATGTTTTGATATAAACTATTTTATTTCATATTTTTTTTAGATTACTCAAGTTTTTTTAATGAAAGGTCAATGTCTTGAATTGCTTGTTCTTTTTCTAAAATTGTGCTTCTAAAAGAATTTGCTTTTGCAAGAACAGTAAAGTCTCTCTTTGTTTCTGCTTCGATGCTCAACTTATCAGCATCAGATTTAAAAATTTCAATGCACTTTGCAACACTTTCTTTTTGTTTTTTCATTACTAAAATATCTCCATCAATCAATTGGCGTTTCCTGCTTAATTCATCTACCTTTAATTGATCTTTGTTTTCTTTCAATACTATATTGTAACGATTGTATGCTAACTTACAACTTTTTAAAAGATCACTAGGGAGCTCATAATCATGTATGACAATGTCATGAGAATTAATGTGGTCATAAACTATTCTTTGAGAAATGAGAGATCTCCTTGCAGATTTTCAACCAACAATTGTTTATTAACACTGAACCCTCGTTCTATTGCACATTGGCCATGAGATAACACAAAAACGATAGCACAGACTTTCCACAGTGCTGAATACTTCGGAATTTTATGCAAATAAACAGCAAAAAATTTATCAACAGAATCAGTTAACTCGTTGAAGGAATCAAATTTTTCGTTAAATTGAACACATTCTGCACTAACAAATTCATCATATTGTTGTTTTGCATTATCTGCATTTTAATGCACTTAATCTTTCAGCAAGAGCCTTGAATTTAAGAATGGATATTTCCTTGTTTTTCACCATTTCACTTGGAGATAAAGATGAAGCATTCCTCACTAAAGAATATTTCAAGGGGGATCTTTCTTGTAATTTTTGCAATAACGCTTCAATAATCTGCTTACATTCTATTATAAATTCTAATTTCTCTTCTGGTTTACAATGAAGAGAACTTAGCATCTGTTTTAGTGCTGTTCCGATATCAATTTTGTTTGCATCTAGTTGGTTATTGGATTTGCCTACTTCAATCTTTGTTAAACTATATGCAGTTGCAGCTTCTTTTAAAATGTTTGGTTTGAGAATCATTTTCATCAAACTTCACAATATACTTTCTAAACTATTAGATAAAAATGCAACCATAGGTCTGTCTGTTTGAAATAGCACTAGAAACCCTTTAAATTTTTTAGCCAGATCATTGAAAAACTGCATACACAAAGGTACAAACTTGTGTAGATGATGATCTACCAGAACCTCGTGTAAACTGTAAATCAATAAAATCCAAAAATTTAAAGGCTGAAATGCTCTTAACTTATATATAAATAAAAAAAGATATAATGAATTATAATAAACTTTTTTCTTCTTAAACATGCATACTTACGGTAAAGCAAGCAGATCTGTTTAACAAACTCTAATATATTCATCTATTTTAGCTGGTGACTCTTTGAAAAGATTATACATTGCACGAAATATTTTTTACAACTCCCACTTTTGGGAGTTTATTGCTGTCTGTAGGGCACCATGAACAATATGCAAGCTGCAACTGCCCATATTAACAATGTCAGAATATCATTTTTCATGTCTATGCTCATTTAACATTTTAAGAACCTCCCAATTAACATTAGGACCATCCATTGAAACTTGAATAAGTTTTTCAAGATCAAACATCTCTGTTGCTTCAATAAGTTTGTCAAATAAATTCTGTGCATTAGGGCGTCTGAGGAATTTCGAATCAATATATCGAACTTTTACAACACCTGAATTGGAATCCTAGTATCTAACTCCACAGTCCATTTGTTCATTTTTAAAGGTTACATTCATACTCTCATCATATGACAAAACAAAGATTGGCGATGCTCTGACTTCAGATATAAGTTGGTCTCGATAGTATGGCGCCAAACCAAAATTAATGAGGTAACCACATTTTGTTTTGCCTAATGCAAACTTTGATGCAATTTTACTGTCAGAAAACATAAATTTGAATATTTTATTTAAATTTAAGCATGATCTTAAAGAAAAATGTGACATTACAACATTTAAGGTCCATATTATTTCTGCCTTCGTAACCAAAGCTGGAGATTAAAGATCCTCTGTAGTAGGCTGTGTAACTTTTTCATTTAAAACTTTGTTTGAAAGAGGAGAAAGTATTTGAAAATTACTGGAAGCTGCTTTATCACCAGATATTTCTGTAGTAAAATCTAAAAGTGAAACATGAAAATATATATCCTGTAAAGTGTGCAGCTAATCAACTTGCTCCAAGCTTTTCAAAATTAAAAAACTAAATTAATTAAATATAATATAATTCTTTATAATATATTTAAATATAAATATAAATAACTAAAAAATAACCTGTAAAAAATATATCAGCTGCATTATGTGTCCTTGCATGCTCTTTATGCTTCTTACCAGTTGCATGTGAATCTAACGCAGATACTCCAATGTTAGAAATATTAATATCTGTTCGACACCAATTACATCTTGTTTTCTTTGAATTTAAAGAACAAAATTTTATCCAAGAAGAATACTTTTTATTGTATAGCCATTCTGTTTGGAAACAGCAGTTCTTTGTTTTAGGCATTATATTAGTGATATATATATATATTAATTGTGTATTATATTTTCTAAATAATTAGTAGATATTATTAAGATATTATTACCATGGAGAAAGTAACATTTAAAATATTTATATATATTTTTTGAATATTCTAGAAAATACATAATCGAAAATAAAAAGATAAAAACATCAAAACGAAATATTGAAATCTTTCAAAAAAAGTTCCAGGATTTCAAGGATTTTTTGTAAAAAAGAGTGTTTTTCCAGGATTTTTCCAGGACCTTTAAAATTCCAGGACTTTTCCAGGATTTCAAGGATTTTAAGGACCGCTGGCCACCCTGATCTTAAAAAAAACATGATAAAAGGTTAAAACTTAATAAAACTTTTATACATTTTTTATATAACAAATAAAAAATTGGGGTATATATAAAATAGTTTCTATAATACATCCCGTCATAGTTCTTTCAATAATAAAGATAATCCTTAATCTTAAACTTTAAACTGAAGATATTTGTTCTAATTTCATGTTGGTAAATCGTAAACGTAAAACTTATAAAATTTATAACAAAAAATCTTACCAGCATATTAATATTATTGCATAACATTTATAAACTTACCTAAACTATGGCCTATCTCGTGCATAACTGTTCCAATTATAAAACAACCATTAGCTAAAGATATTTGGTTTACTCTGTATCTTCGAAACCCAACATCGGAAGAGCATCTAAATTATTTTTTTAATATTTTTAAAACAAGAAATTGACAGGAATAAAAAGAAGTACTTTATTACTCCATGATGATAAAAAGTATAACAATCCCTCATAAATGCTTTTTTTCAAAATACAGTATTTTATTTTTGAAAAATATTGTTAAAACTCTTTTTTTTGTTTTGAGTTTATTTTTTTTTTACATTTCGTTCCAATATAAAATAATCAACTATCTTCAAATACTAAATTTCTCTCAATAACTAGATTACTGGGGTATTTTTTTCACTTATGCTCAAATTACTGTTATATTTAACAGAACATTATCATCTTAAATGAATAACAAAATCAAAAAAAAAAAGGTAAATTTTATTGGAAAGCAAAAAAATGTTCCCCCTCCAGGAAATGATGCCAAAAAAATTATAAATTTATAATTTAGGCAAATAAAATTCTACAGTTAAACTTAAGTAGTTCAAACCCTCAAGGGAAATTCTCAAAGTTTTTAAGACATTTATGATACTATTTACGATTTATTGAACCACATAATTTGAATTTTCAAAATATGTTTGAGGTCTCAAAATATGTTCAAATTACAAGAGTTTTGAATTATAGGAGTTAAATCCTAAATATTAAACTCTGAAGGGACAGAAGAATTAGTTCCATTTAGATAATAAACTCTAAAGAGACAGAAGAATTAGTTCGATTTAAATATTGAACTCTCTAAAGAGACAGAAGAATCAGTTCATTTTGAATATTAAACCCTGAAGGGAAAAAAGAGTTAGTTCGATTTAAATATTAAATTCTGAAAGGACAGAAAAAGTAGTTCGATTTAAATGTTACTCTGAAGGGACAGAAGAATTAGTTCGATTTAAATATTAATCTTTGAAAGGACAGAAGAATTAGTTCAATTTAAATATTAATATCGATTTAAATATTAGTTCAATTTAAACTTCTGTTAGCAATGCAATGTTAGCAAAAAACTAAAACATTCTGTTAGCAATGCCCGTACGGGCATTGCTAACAGAATGTTTTAGTTTTCTTTCCATATTTTCAAACATAAAATAATCTTATTTGGTGTAAAATAATATTCAATAACAAACTTAAAAAACAAAAATAGTAAAATTCTGTTATTGTTTTTTATAGGTAAATGTTGACATTTAAATTAGAAAAAGTTAGCAAATTTAAAGCTTGTTTTTTTGTAAATTTTATGCTAAATATTCGCACGTTCCCAAACTATTGTGTAGCTCTCAGAGAGGCTGATTCCATCTGAAAAATATCAAAGTATTAACAATGCCATATTGCGTATGCATGGTGTCCCTGTTTGTACTTTTATTGTGAATTGCCAAGACCACATTGAAGCCCTTTGTTACACCTTAGGGTTTATTAATAGAATTAGGCTATTGCTTGGGCTATTAAACAGTGCACTGAATCATATCTATGCTTCGAGTCAAGTTCTTTAACAAATTTAAAAATGAATAAAGTAATAAAAACAATTAAACACAAAAAACCATTGTCATAACCAAGTTCTCTAAACCTATCATTTACTAATATTCGTGATCTTCGAAGTAACTTTTCTTCTGTTGAGTCTTATCTCTTCCAAAGTTCACCAGACCTACTTGCTCTTTGTGAGACTAATTTGAGTTCAGCTGTCTCATCTTGTGATGTTATTGCTGATGGTTATCTGTCTTTAATTTGTAAAGATTCCAATAGTCACATGCTTGGCCTGGGCATTTACATTCATAAGAATTCACCCATTTGTCGCGAAATTAGTTTGAATCCACAGACTACTCTTTTATGTGTTCTTGTTTAGCACTACTTCACTCTATTGCCTTTGCCTTTGCTCTATATAGTTCTCCTTCATCTCAAGACTCTACTCTTTTTGAAGTTATTTCTGATCATACTGACCAAGCTCTCTCTCTTTATCCATCAGACACTCGAGCTTGGTTCTAGTGTCAGTGAATCTGCAGGCATTAAAGCCCACAACTTTTGCCTTTCTCAATCTCTAACTCAAATAGTCAACTTTTCCAAATAGCTTTCAAGACAACCCTAATCATTTACCTTCTTTAATCAACTTATGTCTTGATTCTAATCCTAGTCAGTGCTCAATTTCTCCACATTCACCCTTAGGTACTTCTGATCACAGTTTGATTTCTCTAAAACTATTAACTCATTCTTTTTAATCATCAGAATTCCCCTATCATTGTACATTTTAAAATTACCCTAAAGCTGACTGGGACTTTTTCTGTGATTTTCTTTGTGATCCTTGGGGTAGAAATCTTTGGTCTTCGTGGATTCAGGCTGGCATGGAATCCTTTATTCCCTCTTGACGTTTCCAGTTCAAGCCTCACTCCTCTCCATAGTTTTCCTCACATTAAGCTGCTGCAATTGCCAATCAAAACCAATCTTCCAGAAGACGTCTGTTTATTACTGCTAAAAACCATTATAAAAAGGTTTTGTCTAACGCCAAAGCCCGCTATTCTCGGTCACAAATTTCTCGGTCACAAATTTCTCGGTCACAAATTTCTCGGTCAAACTATTCTCGGTCACAAAATTCTCGTATTTCATCTCAAAAACATATCTCGCAACTTCTGGAGAATTTTTAATATTATCAATAATGAGGGTGAATCTGTAATTCCATCTTTCTTGTATGGTTTAGACTTTGTCACCTCACCTAAGAACGAAGCTGAATTGTTTGCTAAGAACTTTTCATTAATATCATCTCTTGATTCCACTAGTTGCATTCTACCTCATATAGCCATCAAACATGTTGATCCATTGCTTGACAATCGTATTACTCCAGCTACTGTATCTAAAGTGATTTCCTACTTAGACTCTTCTACAGTTTGTGGCAATGGACAACATACCTGTTATAGTCTTGCAGAAGTGTTTTCCGTAGCTGTTTCCTATCCTTTCAAAACTATTCAACAAGTGCTTATCAGAGTCTTGTTTTCCAGCCTGCTGGAAAGCAGTATCTGTTATCCCTATTTTCAAAAACTCTGGAAAGCGATCTGATTTGTCTAACTAACGTCCCATTATTCTTTTTCCTATCTTAAGCAAGGTTTTTGAATTTTTAATTAACAAACACTTAATCTCTCATTTTGCATCTAATAACTTACTTTCTGATCATCAATTTGAAATTCGATTTTCTCGTTCTATGGCTGATTTGCTAACAGTAATAAAAGATGGTTTTATCGTGCATTAGATAAAGATGGAGAGGTTAAGGCCATTGCTCTTGACATTTCTAAAGCTTTTGATAAAGTTTGGCATGCTGGTCTTCTCCATAAGCTTTCTTCTTATGGTGTATCTGGAAACATCTTTAAAACTATTGAATCCTTCCTTTCCAATTGTAGTATAAAAGTTGTCCTCGATGGACAGCACTCTTCTTCTTATTCTGTAAGCTCAGAGGTTCCTCAAGATTCAACCCTTTGCCCTTTACTTTTTTTTTAATTACATTAACGATCTTCCAGATATTCTCACATCCAAGGTGGCATTGTTTGTTGAAGATACTACTATTTATTCTTGTCATGATAAGCAGCCAACACTCTCTGATTGCTTGAAGGGGGCATTTGAGCTTGGAAAGGATCTCATTTCTGCTACAGCATGGGACTCACAATAGCTTGTGAACTTTAATTCAGATAAAACTCAATTTTTTTTAGCCAATCATTATCGCAATAATTTAGACCTTCCTATATTTATGAACGGTAATGTACTTGATAAGTCGTCTACCATTTATCTTCAAGGATTAACTCTAACTTCTGATCTTTCTTGGAAACCATATATCAAATCCGTTGCAAAATTAGCATCTGCTAAAGTTGCATCTCTTTATCAAGCTCGACACTTTCTTAGTCCAGATTCTATTCTTTATCTCAATAAATCTCAAATCTGGCCTTGTATGGAATACTGTTGCCATATCTGGGGTTGACCTTTTGTTGATGCCCTTTCTCTTTTAGACAAGGTACAAAAAAGCATTGTAAAAATAGTTGGGCCTGCTCTTGCAGCCAACTTTCAACCATTATTACATCGTAATAATGTTGCTTCTCTTTCTCTTTTCTGCTCTAAAGAGCTAGTGTCTCTTGTGCCATCTACTAAAATTCATTTTCATGTTACTCGTCACTCAATTAAGTCTCATCTATTTTCTGTGACTGTTCCTAAGTGCTCCAAAACTTTTACTCCTCTAGTTTTTTTCCTCGAATATCAACTCTTTGGAATTCGCTTCCTTAATCTTCCTTTTCTGATTCGAATAATTTGCAACCTTTTAAGTCGCCTGTCAATCGTTATCTTGCTCTACAGTCTTCATCTTTATTTTTACAGTAACTCTTATTAGTGGTTACAGCTTTGTTGGAATCGAAGATGTTTAAAAAAAAAAAACATTTTTTCAATTTGTCGAGCCCTGTTATCATAACTTATTTTGGCGATTAAAAAAAAGAGGTTGATCATAAATAAGGTTCAAAACACCTTTGTTTTTTGAATACTTTACATTTCAAAAAGTTAGGAAAAATTAATAGAGACCTCTATTTAAATACAATATGTAACACATTTAATTTTTTGTTTTTCTTAGTTAAAACATTTAGAACTTTGCTTATATTCTGTTTTAATAAAAAAGGTCATAAAATCAAAGTATTTGTTCAATGTAGTTATTTTTCCACAGTCTTTAGACATAAGCAAGTGAATTGCTTTTGTGTGGCCGTGGCGCAGTGGTTAGAGCGCTTGCATTATAAGCAGGAGATCCAGGTTCGAAACGAGCTTAGGGCATAATTTCGCGTCACGGAAAGGAAGGAGGCGTGAACTGGTCAAATACACTTTCGCTGTGCTCTATGACAAGGCCATTAGGCTTCTTAGAGTACCTAAATAACAAAACAAAAACAAACAAACAAACAAAAAACGCAAAAGTTTTGTTACATTGCGATATTTAAAGAGAGTACTATTTCTACTAAAAAAAAAAAAAAGTCACTCACCCCCGTCCATGATAAAAACTTAAGTATTCAACTTGGTTTGTTCTTTGAACGAACTTTATACATGTCTTTTTATGGTAATTTTCTATAGCTTGTAAAACCATTGGTTGGTTTTGCCTATCTGAATAATATAATATTTAATGAGAGCTAAAATATAAATTAATTAAACAGTTTACTAATTTAAAAAAATTTAAAATAATTTCATTTTCTAACACCACTTGGAAAAAAAAACTTGTAAAGATAAAAAAAGTATTGTGTGTGTGTTCTATTTTAATAAATGTTTGATGCTGTGTATAAAAGCAAAAAAAAAAAGAATTTTTAAATTTATATAATTGAAGTGAAAATGCATTTTGATTTTTTTGAGTTTTACAACATTTGATAGCTCTGAACATCATGTTATGTTTTTGAAGTTATAAGTTGATTGATTTTTCTGATAGAACTAAATTATAGAACAAATTTGTGTCATCTGCAAAAATTTCGAAATATAATTTAGATGAAACTTTAGAGAAGTCTTTATAGTATAATAGATATAATTTAGCTAAGTTAGACTTTAGCTAAGTTTTTAATGTGAAAAAATGGAAGTGTAAAGCTAAAATAATTTTTTTAGAAACACCACATCTGATTTTTAGTATTATTATTACTATTGTGATATATATTGACAAATTGTTGTCTATTATATATATATATATATAGTTTACTAGCCATTTTGGTGTTTAACTTATTTTTTAATCTTATTTTTTTTCTAGTTTTTTATAATACTATTGACAGGTCAATTTAATAATTAGTTCAATTGTATCAATCAATATAGATTTTAAAACGCAATATTCCATTCCATTTGATTAAAAAAAATTAATAAAAAAACTTCGATATCAAAAGATTTTTTAAATTTTCTGTTACAGAAAATATTGGATTTTGTAACATAAATATTATAATATATAGTAATATATTATATTATAACAATAAATAATATTTTTAATTATACACTTAATAGTTATATTTAATTATAAAAATATATTTAATAATTAAATTAAATAATATAATAAATAATATAAATATTATAATAACATTACAAAATTAAAAAGATTCTAAAATAAAATAACATTATTTAGAATATAAAACTACTATAATAAAACAAGAACAACAAAACAACTTTTTGATTTTAAGTTTGACTCAAAGAGTTGCTACTTACTACTAACTACTAACTAAGAGTTACTACTAGTACTAGAATTACTACAAAGAGTCACTGTTAGGAAAAGGTTTTAAAAAGTTAACCAAAAAGGAAACCTAATTAAATAACCAAATAAGGTAACAAAATAAATAAATATACTATTTAAAAATTTAAATAATTTTTGATTGATTTTATGTTCTAACAATTAATAAGTATAATTTTAATTTAAATTTAAATCAGTTTTTAAATCAGAAATTTAAATCAATTTTTAAATCATAAATTTAAACCAGTTTTTAAAACTAAATCAGCTTCTAATGGTGATTAAAGTTAAAAAGATGAAACTACTAATGTTGCTTTTAATTTAATTTTCTTCAATTAATTAAATTTTAAAATAATCATGATGTTTGTAAATTTGTATATGTGCTTTTCAAAATTTTATACACATCCTGTGTTGCAAATGTGAACAGGATTTTGTTTATAAATAATAGTTAAGTGCTAATTGAAGTTTTTAATTGAATATAACCAGGGCCATGGAGGAGGAGCAAAAGGGGCATATATGCCATGGGTGCCAAGATAATAGGGGCACCAGAAGACAAAAGACAAAAAAACAAAAAAAACTTTTTTGTTTTGACAAAAAAAACTTTTTTTTTTATGAGATATAAAATAAAATTACAAGATGATGTGCTTAGCAATTAGCTTGGCTTTATTTATATTCCCAAAAGAATTAAATTTGAAATAATTTTCTTTTATTTAGTTGGAGGGGGTAACCAAAATAATAAAAATTTGACTTGTTTTTTATATTGACAACATCGATGAAGACACTAGATTTTATCCACAAAAAAAATTTTATTGTTAGATTTTTTAGATTATACTTTTTCAGGTTATTTGAGAGAAAATTTCATAAACACTTTTATAATTATTTTGAAAGAAAATTTAATCAGAATTAAATTTTAAAAATAAGAAAAAAGCTAAATTAATTAACTTTATTTGCTAATGTTTAGCAACTCTTTATAGAGTGCTAAAAATGCAAATGTTGTGCTGGATCATTGGTTGGCTAGCTAATAGACAACAGTGAGTTTTAATTAGAAAATAAATAACCAAGTGTGAAAGAGTGATAAGCGACGCCTCTCAAGGACATTGATAGTGCTGTAAATTGGTCACCAACTGCGTTGTGGATTTCAATGTCAAGAAGTGTGGAGTAATTCAAATTGATTGTCACAAAAACTAATTGATAATGGCTGACATTAACTGTCATATACACCATATCCAATATACAAGTTGAAGCAGTATTTTCGGCAAAAAGAATGATGATAGCAAAAAGAACCTGGAAATGCAGTCTTTTTCCATAAGTTTCCAGAACATAACTTTGAAGTGAATTTAACGTCTTAAACCTTGTGCTTTATTACTTCATTCAACAAATTCGATTCAAAATTGAGATTGTGAAAACTGTTTCTCTAAGATTCTCACTCATCTAATTGAAATATCAAGAACCAATAAAAATTAAAGCTCATGAAAGGAAGACAACTTTATGGAAGATAAATCTTAGTAGTTTGAAAGAAACTTCATTTTTTATTTCTGGAAACACTTTAAACTTTCAATCAATCTAATAAACTTATAAATCTAATAAACTTTAAACTTTAAATCAATCTAATATACATTCAAGGTGTCTATAGCCTATTTTCCAATCTATATGCATTTTTTAATGCAATGCCAGTGCCAACTGCAGAAGGTAAACGACTATTAAGTAAACTGAAATTGATTGAAAAAATTGATTATAGGGCCACAATAGAACATAACCGTCTATCAGACACACATGTTAAAAATAACTTGGATGCAACTCTATTGTAAGATGACATAATATTAATAGTAATTTTAACTGCAAAAGTAATAATAATAATAGTGAAAAAGTGAGAAAAGAGTGTTTTTAATATTAACTTCAAAGAATCTCTTTATTTATTCTAATCAGCGAATGTTAAATGTATTGCATAAGTGTTATATAATCCAAATGCCATTCATGCAAATATGGATGCAAAGTATAGGTATTAAAAATAAAATACACAGTGATTAACTTGTATAATTGTACATGCTTTAAATTTTAAAATATGCATGCTTATAGGAGCGCATAAATGCTGATATGCCGTGGACATCATGAAAGCTCTTAGCAGCCCTGAATATATCACATACTGTAATAAAATATTTAAATATAACAAATTTAGTACTGTGTTACAGCATAATAATCTATAAAAACAATGACTGGTAGTTAAAGAAGTAAAGAACTAACCTAAACCTTAGTACAGCGACTCACTTAGCAGCGAGAATTATTTTTCATCTACTTGCAGCAATTATTGATTGCCTATCCATCACAGTTTGTTTAAACCTAACTGAGCTTTCTTTCAAACAATTCTGCCAAAATTTGACATGTAATACTTTAAAGTGTTTAAAGTCATTATAAGTCATTATTATTATTATTTTTTTGTTCTTTATTACAATATTTATGATACAGATACAAATAATATAAAAAAGAAAAAAGAAAAGATAACAAATCAAGATATCGTTAAGTAATAAAGAATAAAAATAGTTAAAAAGAACGCTGATACTCAAAGAAGACCATCAGGTCTTGCCACAGAGAAACCGCTATTGAAATTTTTTATATATTTTTTTCAATGTTTTCATTCTTTATATTTATTTATTTTTGTTCAAATTCTTTTTATTACAGAATTAGTTTTAATAATAAAAGTAAATAAAGTTCGTAATATAATATTATAAATAAACATACAATATTACAATATAAGAGTTCTAAAACTTAAAAACTAAAACATGTTAAATAATTCATTAAAATAAAACATGTTAAATAATTGCTTGTTGATAAAAAATAAATAAATAAAAAAGAATGTACATTAAATGTATACATATACTTATATAGATAAGGGATTTTCAAAAACTCAAAAGTAGATTAGTATATTTTCAGTTGAAAAAATGAGTTCTTTAAGATTTTGTTTAAAAGAACCAAAATTACATTGTTGAGAAAAAGCTTTAGAAGTATTTAGAACTATACTATTCCATAAAAATGGTCCGCGAAATGAAATAAAAAATTTTCCAAAACTAGTTTGAGAAAATGGTTGTCGAATTAAATTATTGTTCCTTAGAATATATTTATTTCTATCTTTTTGTAAATACAAGTTACGAAAAGAAACGGGTCTTGCATTTATACATAAAACAAAAAATATTAAAAACATTCAACTCATATATTGAGTGCTTTCATATCATATAAAAGAAGCTTGGCGTGAGCAAAACGGTCCTTAAAATTTATAAGGCGTGCTACATGCTTCTGTTGCCGATAGAGAGGTTTAAGTTTACTTTTATAAGTGCTACCCCAAGCAATGTTTGCATAGTTGATATGGCAATGAATTAACAAATAATATAATTGAATTAAGGTATTTTTATCAAGAACGTTTCTTATTTTGTATAGTATGCCTATACTATTTGAAATTTTACTGCACAAATTGGCAATGAGGCATTTCCATGTAAGATTTTCATCGATATATACACCTAAAAATCTTGTCACTAAAACTCTATTAATAACTATGTTATCGATAAATAGAAAAAGTAAGTTGCTAGGCAGCTGGTGCTTTTTACCATAAGGATGAAAAAGAATCCATTTAGTTTTATCAATATTTAGTGAGAGTTTGTTTAATCTAAACCATTCGGAAATTTTGGCTAGTTCAATGTTCATATTGCTAAAAAGTGTAATAATGTTATTATGAGAAAGAAATAGGTTAGAATCATCAGCAAACATAATTGTCATTAGGTTAGAAACTGTTGGTAGATCATTAATATATATTAAAGATAGGAGAGGTCCTAATATGGATCCTTGAGGAACTCCACATGAAATATTTAACAAACTAGATGATACGTTATTATCGGCATAAACAAATTGTTTTCAATTATTTAGG